AAAGATTCCCCATTTTAAAGAATCCCGCTTTTAAAGATTCCCCATTTTAAAGATTCCCGCTTTTAAAGATACTCCATTTTAAAGATTCCCCATTTTAAAGATTCTCTATTTTAAAGATTCCCGCTTTTAAAGATTCCCACGTTTAAAGATTCCCACTTTTAAAGATTCCCTATTTTAAAGATTCCCTATTTTAAAGATTCCCCGTTGCCCGTTGACCGTTGCCCGTTCGCCGTTCGCCGTTCCCCGTTCCCCGTTCCCCGTTCCCCGTTCGCCGTTGCCCGTTGCCCGTTGCCCGTTGCCCGTTTTCCGTTCATCGTTTTAAATATAGCCCTTTCGAAATCAAACCTAAACAAAAGTAATCTTTTATCACGCGGGGTTCAGGTTATGAACGTGCAACCTCGTTCCTAGGGTCACTCCTCTTTCCACTCCGAAGAGCTTTGAGTTTTACGGCCTGAATAAAGATCTAATTAACACATTATAAAATATAAAATAAGATCTTACCCAATCGGAAATGAACAGCCGCTCTGCTACTGTACACTTTGGCTATCGCTTAAAAAAGAGACGATGATTTAGTGCATGGCTCAAATTTGCTAAGGATGCCTAATACTGACACATAAATGAAATAATTCATTTCTATTACTAGAAAGTATGCAATGGCTAGAATCGCGAAATACGTAGTTCCCGGCAATTACCACTAAGATGTTTTTTCTTTAAGGATACCGTATACCTTTAGAGCACCTGTAGAGGTGTGTCGCGTCCAAGGAATGTAGCGCGTCCGACTTAAACTGCAGATACCTAAACCTCAATATCACATTAAAGCTTCTAGATTCGGCCATTATACTATACCAAACATTTTGAAATAAAATGAATTGTGGGGTTTTTTTACGACCTCTAAATGTGAGCGACCGATTCATCTTTGGATAATAGATAGTTTGACAAATAAACAACAAGGACGCGTTTCGATCTGCCAATTTTTTATTTTCAATATGTTTTCTCCGAGAGCAACTTTTCTCCGGCCACTCCATATTATTTTAATCCTATTTCCAAAATGTTCTGCAACGTTCCATTGAAATTGAATATGGCAAACCGCAGACACGTTTTTTTAGCGCTTCGTGATAATAATATAATTTGATAGCCAGCTCTATATAAGCATTTTTTTCATATGGTTGCTTAGTTTAGTTCAACTCAGTTTAAACTGGACTCGCTACATCGCTTGCACGTAGACACCTCTAAAGGTATACGGTAACCTTAAACACTGTCATCCATGATTACGCACAAAAATACAAAGGATCTTTCTGCCCAATCAGGATCCAGATTTGCAGTTGGAAATGACTGAAGAGACTCAGTTCCCAGGGGCTCTTTCTGCCTCACTTGTAATCTTTGGACGCTTCAATTTATGCCGGGTTTACATCCTCCCGCCCGAACTAAAAGCGCCTGGGTCTCCGAGGATGCCCGGAACCAAAACATCTAGCTGTTTAATTTTTCGTATCCGTCAAAGTTCATAATGGTTTCTTAACATGCGTAGATAGAGAAACCGCTGCGACTAATAGTGGCTCAAGTTCCGATTTCAACCAGAGGTCCTGCCACTTTAACTGTTGGTTA